TAGTACAATCCAATAGATACACTGCATAATCAAACCATTTTTATACAATTATTATAAACCACAAACCAAATAATAACCAATATTATACAGGGTTTACCAATAGGGCTGCACTGTTTTTGAAATGTCATAGCGGCCATTTTGAAAATGGTAGAACTGTTAACTGTCACTTGTTGACGTTTGTACAAAGAATATAGACGCTTATATAAATATAATATAATAGACGCTTATATATAAGCGTCTATATTCTTTGGTTTGTATTTAGTATACTCTTACAAATTACCATGGCAAGATATTTGGAAATTATCCTAAAACCATATGCTATTAATCGTTCTTTTGTGAATACCTCTCGTGCATTACGTAAAAGTTATGGACCAAATCGTCCCGATGTGCGTGTTATTTCCCCGAATCGTGGAAAATTTGAACGTGAATTTACTCTGCACGATACGAAACCACCAACTGAAAACACCAACCACCAAGACGCCGAAATGCAAGAACTCAGGACAATATTGCTGCTGTAATAGCCAATGTAGCGGAGAATGCAAATGTGTCCTTAAATCGTCGTTCTCAAGAACTTGGACTCACCAGAATGACAACTCAGCGAATTCTAAAAAAAAAATGTAGGTCTACACCCTTACAAGATTGTTTTGACTCAAGAATTGAAGCCACTTGACCATCATAAGGGAGGTGAAAAGTACCAACTTTTAAGAAACATCATGCAGGCAAAATTAAGGGCAAAATAAGTGTGGGAAGAAGAAAAATATCGTGGCTTCGTAATCTACGTAAATGGTTCGGGTGTAGTTCGATTGAACTTCTTAGGCGCGCTGCTAACAAAGTCGCAGTGGCCATGATTATTTAAAATCTCCGCCAGGAGTGGCACGAGAAGAAGAAGAAGACCATCATAAGCGTCGTTTGTTCGCTAATTGGGCAGTAGACAAACTCAAAAATGATTTTTTCAAAAAAATAATCTTCTCCGGTGAAGCTCATTTTTGGTTAGACGGCTTTGTGAATAAGCAAAATTGTCATTTTTGGAGTAAAAATAATTCACATGAGATTCTTAAGAAAAACTCACTGTCTGGTGTGATTTATGGCATGGTGGCATCATCGGACCTTATTTTTTTGAACATGGTGTAACAGTCAGTGGTGAAAGATATCGAACGATAATAACGGATTTTTTGTAGCCTCATTTGGATGAAATGGATTTGGATGGCATGTTTTTCCAACAGCACGGTGCCACATGTTACACTACTGCCCCAACCATTGATTTATTGAAGGAAAAGTTCCCGAAAACATTGATTTCTCTTGATGCCAGAGATCCCAGGAGAATTCGGCAACTTCGACCAGATGCTTAGCCTCCAAGAAGCTGCGATTTAACACCGTTGGAATATTTTTTATGGGGCTATGTTAAGTCATTGGTCTATGTGAACAAACCACAATCTAGTGAAGACTTGAAGTGGAACATAGATCACACCATTCGTGAGATTAATGCGGATATTTTGCAAAAAGTGACCAAAAATTGGGTTCATCGGATTCGCTCCTGCAAATGTAGTTGCGGTGGACATTTGAATGATGTGTTATTCGGAACATAATTTTTATCTATTATGTTTTACATTAATTTTGTTTTTTTTTATTTACAGAAATTTTTACCGTTTTCGTTAAAAAAAAAACATCAGGACATTCATATTGGGAGACCTCTTATTATATTATATTAACTATGTCTTATCTAATTATGATTTAAAAATACACCCGTATAAGTAAAAGTGATTATTTTTCGGCCACGAGATTATCTGGTAGAAGATCAGTAGGTCGACCGAGACAAAGATCGTAGAGGATGGAGAGCGATAGTGGATGCGGCGAAGACTCACTCTGAGTTGTAAAGCCAGTGAAGAAGAAGAAGAAATAGTTTTTCTACCGGTAGCGATCATAGACTTGTTCGAGCAAAGTTAAGCAATCATAGTCATTTTGAGACCACCAAAAAATCAAAAACAACCAGAAATTGTAAGATTGGAAAATTGACAATCAGAAATATAAAGAAAAAATAGAGGAAGTATTACCAAAAGAAAAACCTAAAAAAATATATTATATTCAGACACGAAAAAATAAGATATTTTATTACGTAGCAGAAAGTATAGACGCATGTTATTTTATGTGGTATGGAAATTAACTTAAGTGTGAAAATAATAACACAGAATAATAATATCTATCTATAATCACCAAAATAAATCGTCGAAATGTGTGGACCGACATTACTTTAGAACGACTGCATCAAATTAGATAATTATTTTTTGTTGTGTTTTTCATTATCAGGTGATTTGTGTAAAAGATAATTTTCAAAAAATTGTAGGGAAAGACCTTAAAAACAGTTTTTCTATAATACTATTTTCAAATACACTAAAACGTAACAATTGATAGTTTAGAATATTTTTTAACATAATAGTTACGTTATTAAGTGTTTAAAATGTGCTCCATTTGTGAGTTGGCAGCACTCTAAACGATGGTAGAATGCGTCTACCACATTTCTCCATGATTGTCTAGAAATTATTCGAGATTCATCGATAATTCATTGCCTTAGCTATGAAAGACTTGCTGGTTAAGTTTTGTAAACTGAAGTTTTCAAGTATCTCTAATAAAAATAATTTTTAGGATTGAGATCGGGTGAACGTGGAGGCCATTCAATTCTACCTTGTCTACCAATTTATCGTCCCGGAAATATCTCATCTAAATAACGCCGAACATTTACACCAACTATCTGACGTTAAATTTCTTTCGATAAAAAATGGCCCAATTAACTAAGTACCTACTATAACTGACCATACATTTAATTTTTGTGGTCTTTGAGTATGGTTTTCACGCATTCAGTGTGAATTTCACACGAGTTCAGCTATTCAATACGAGTTCAATCATATGTTCACTTGATTTTATGTAGTCTGAAAGATCTTAAATACATAAAACAGTGCAAAATATGTAGATTTTAATAAATTTAAATATTTTAATGGAAAATGCTGTGATTTTGACATTTGTTCACTATTTAAATTATGAACTAAAATTGACAGTAGTTGTGGTTCAAAAAGTTCTACAATTTAAATTGCTTCTCTAAAATGCCGTTCTCTAAACCGTTCTCCTATTCATAAGACGACGGTACAAAAAACTGTAAGGCGATTTAATGAATCTGGAGAAGTAAAAGATAGATACCGATCAGGTTGACCGAAACGAGTTATCAATGACAACAAAACTTCAGATATAAGCAAAGTTTTGTTGAAGATCCAAATACATCCCCAGGCAGGGTTGCACAAGTACATGATGTAGATCATTCTTCAGTCTTACGTTTATTACGTAAAAATAAATTTAAATCATACAAAATTAACTTATTGCAAGAATTGAGTGAAGATGACTTTGGTCGTAGATTAGAGTTTACTGAGGTAATGATGGATACAATTGAAAATTATAAAAATTTCGTTAACAGAATATGTTTTTCCGATGAAGCAACTTTTACACTGTGTGGAAGTGTAAATCGACACAATTTAAGGTACTGGTGTGACGTAAATTCACACTGAAGACTGAATGCGTGAAAACCATACTCAAAGACCACAATAATTAAATGTATGGTCAGATATAGTAGTTACTTATTCAATTGGGTCATTTTTTGTCGAAAGAAATTTAACGTCAGAGAGTTGGTGTAAATGTTCGGCGATATTTAGATGAGATATTTCCTGGACGATAAATTGGTAGACAAGGTAGAATTGAATGGCCTCCACGTTCACCCGATTTCAATCCTAAAGATTATTTTTATTAAGGATACTTGAAAAATTCAGTTTACAAAACTTAACCAGCAAGTCTTGCAGAGCTAAGGCAACGAATTATCAATGAATCTCGAATAATTTCTAGACAATCATGGAGAAATGTGGTAGACGCCTTCTACTATCGACTAGGGTGCTGTCAACTCACAAATTGAGCACATTTTGAACACTTAATAACATAACTACTATGTTAAAAAATGCTCTAAACTTTCAATTGTTACGTTTTAATGTATTTGAAAATAGTTAGTATTAAAAAATTTATTGAAACAATTTAGGCGTTGCCAGACTTCGGTTTTATGTATTTATGACCTTCCAGATTACATAAAATCATTAATGTTACATATGGTTGAACTCGTATTGAATAGGAGATTCCAATAATGACTGAATATACAGGGTGATGTATTTGAAAAACTAAAGTTACTAATAATATAAGAAAAAAGACAAATCTGGCAACATTGTAAATATCAAATATGGAATCTTCGTATCCCAAAATAGGTGTACCTCAAATTTTGTACAATTATGATTAGCATTTTACGAGATAATTAGCCGTTTCCAGACTTTTGGGCCACTCTGTATATTGGGCAACAGCCACACCACAATTTTTATGTTTTTATGTGTAGCGTCAAAAAATACATTGCAGCAGTTAATTTTTACCTCTCTATTGCTAACCCATTTGTTGTTGGGTGAATTTAGTGAGCTAACACTTATTCAATTTGGAGAAGAACATATTGCTAGCAAACCAAACGGGATATGAGAAAAATGGATTGACACTCAGAAATCAAACACAAAATCGTAACCATCAGATGAATCCTCAAAATTATTCTAGAAGAATTGTATCTCAAAATCTCAGAAAAAAATTGAACATAATGAAATAAGCGAGACATAAAACGAAAATAGAAACTTGGATTTGTAAATAAAGAATTTACTTAAAATTATTAGTTTGTTTTCCAAGAGATAGAAAAACATTTTTTTTTCAGGACAATAATATTTATTCTCGTTTACCTTACATAGTTTGTCTACTTTTAATGTTTCTAAGATCGTTTTTGTTTTAGATTATAACAACCCTCAGCAAATGGCATTTTCTTTTAAAAAGTAAGCATATTAGCTCAAAGTCAAAAAATAGTCATCAACTGCTTTTAAAATTTTATTTATCTAAAAATATCTTACAATTAAAATTATTCACAGCCGTCCTCACTCAAAACACTTTTAACCCCAGTAACCTCTGTGGCCCCATCCACCATAACCTCCCCATCCGCCATAACCACCCCAACCCCTACCTCCCCATCCACCACCATAATAACCGCCCCATCCGCCGCCATAACCGCCCCAACCTCTACCACCCCATCCTCCCCAACCTCTTCCGCCCCAACCTCTGCCGCCCCATCCGTATCCGCCCCAATGTGCAGACGCAGAGGGTTCCAGATCTGAGTCGGTTGCTTCTACACCCTGAACGGCATCAGCTGGAAAGCCACCGGATTGGTATAACGAGGGGTTGCCTTCTGACGCTTCTTTAGCCTCTTGGGGGACTGCGGGGATGGCCATTGCTGCAGCGATGGCCAGGCACAATAGAATGAACTCCTGTAAAAAAAGAAAGTGTACATTAAAAAAAGCTTCAACGTAAAGAAGGGACGTTAAGATAAAATTATCGTAAAAATTAGAGAAGAAACAATGGACACCCGACGAGAAAGAACGGAAATCCTAAAAATAAAAAATGGAGTAAAACAAGGAAATGCGCTCTCACTGGTACTATTTATTCTATCACTAGACAAGATAATAAAAAAGCTGTCAAAAGCAGGAACTATAAACACAAATGCTGTACAAATAATAGGATATGCGGACGATATAAACATAGTTTAAAATACAGATCAGGTTAAAATCTTAAGGGGAGCGAGACTGGGGTGCATAGAAGAGCTACAAAACTTAATGAACATAATAACCGAAACAAGTAGAACATATGGACTGGATATAAATACCAGCAAAACCAAGCTAATGATCATCAACAAGGAAAACATAACTGGAGCAAATCTGTATGTGAATTAAATGAGAATTGAACGAGTCTCACGATATAACTACTCAAAAAAATATAATCAATGAGTCGTGGGACAATACCCAAAAGATTAAATGTCGCATCGGAAAGGCAAAGAGTGCATTGTTGACTATGAGTTCTGTGTTCAAGAGATATGACCTCAACCTAGAAACAAAAATAAGGCTCCTTAAATGTTTTGTGTACTCAGTGCTTCTGTACGGAGTAGACACGTGGACATTGAAGGCGGAAACTCTATCAAAACTTCAGGCTTTTGACCTATGGTCATACAGAAAGATCATGAAGATACCATCGACACAAAGTCACCAATGAAGAAGTACTGCGGAGGATGAACACAACTTTGGATTTGGTCAATATCGTGAAGGACCGTAAGCTACAGTTCTTGGGACATATAATGAGAAATTAAGGCAGATATGAGCTACTTCAATGCATTTTACAAGGTAAAATTGAAGGAAAAGGACCCCAGAACGAAGAAGAATATCCTGGCTTTTCATATAGCAACTGACAAAGTCATCATAGCCAGAATGATCGCCAACATTCAAAAGAAGAATTAACATAGTATCATAGTATCAACAGATACTATGAAAAGAAAAGCTTCGAAGAAATAGAAAACAAAGCTAAATTGAGAGGACTGAAAATAAATGAAAATAAACAAAATTCATGAACGTAAGCAAGAAAAAAAGACACAAATTATAGGAGTAACATTACACCCACACAGTTTCAAAGAGTTTAAAAAGTTTTTTAACGTTTTAACGTTAAAAAAATATTTGGAATTTTATAAGCCAAAAGACAAATGAAAATCTACAAAACAACCATAACGCTAATAGTATGTGCTTCAGAGACATTTACATTAAATGCAAGAGAAGAAGAGCAACCGAAAGTTTTTGAGAAGAAGATTATGAGAAAAATACTGAGACCAAAGAGTGAAAACGAAGAGGATGCAAGACAATGGATGAATCACGAAATACAAGAATGGATGATCAAGAGAATATAATGAGAAGAGAGAAGAGCTATCAGTAAAGAGTTGATAATAGCAGGTAAAAGTGTAAAGTATCAGAGGCAGATAAGATGGAGACAACAAGTCGAAGGAAAATTTAAGGAGTATGGAAATGAGACGTATGAAAAGGACAATCAAAGAGAGAAAAGAATGAAGAAAAGTAGTGAAAACAGCTTCAGCTTCCTATAGCTTGTATATATATATATATATATATATATATATATATATATATATATATATACATATATATATATATATATATATATATGTATATAAATATAAATAACTACATATATATATATATATATATATATATATATATATATATATATAAGATGGTGGTATTCTTGACTGTTAATTTAAATATAAATTATGATTTTTGAGGATGCAGTCAGTTTATTTGGCCCACAAGACAAAGAAAACTCTTTGACTTACTGTCAAGCTTTCGAATTTTATTTAATTCTTTTTCAAGACATCTATAAAAAGAAATGTAAATTAACTAGTTAAAATTGTTAATTGTCTTACTTACTAGTCGTGAGATTACAGTTGTTAATACTATTGTACTTCACAAAAAAAAACCATTATAAATATATTAAAAATTTTGTATTAAAAATTTGTAATATATTTGGCTTTACTGGCTTACTCAATAAATTAATTTTTAGTACTGCAAACTCTCCAACCTCCATCACATTGATCGACAATACCAACAATAAAAAACAAATCACAGTAAAAATGGCAAATCAAGAAATAAACAATAGCCTGACAGTTAACACCTTAATACCAATAACACCACAAACTTTTGAATCTTTACCTTATATTCCATTTTTAACACCAAAACTTCTCAAATTATTTAAAGGATTAGAAAACATAAAAATTGCCACCAGAAATGTTAAAATCATAGCACATTTATACACTAAAACTAAAGATCCTTTAACAACTGATGAAAGTTCTAGAGTAGTGTATCAAATACCTTGCTCAGACTGTGATAAAGTTTATATAGGAGAAACTTCTCGAACATTACACAGCAGAATTATTTCTCATAAAAGTGATGTAAAAACTAAGAAATCACAAGCTTGTGCATTAGCTGAACACTCCATCAATCTAAATCACACATTTAATTTTTCACAAGCTTCAATTCTAGAGAGGCAGAAACATGTACAGAAACGGTTATTTTTAGAAATGACACATATACAAAAAAATAAAAAATGTGTAAATAGAAGATCAGATATTGACAAATTAAGTAACATTTATTGTTACATATTAACATATCAATGAATACCGTCAAGATCTCATTTTCTATTGACATCCTAACATTAAAAATTCATATGTGCTTAAGCTAAACTGCTGACTGGATTAATTTATACTTTTAATAGACAATTAAATAAATTATAATAAAAACTATTGTTACTGGTTTTGCTTTCCACATAAAGTAACTGTATTTTCATTCATATATGTCCATTAATCAAACCATGACAATGACATATATAGTGACAATATAGTTATTTTTAATACAAAATTTTTAATATATTTATAATGGTTTGTTTTGTGGAGTACAATAGTATTAACAACTGTAATCTCACTACTAGTAAGTAAGACAATTAACAATTTTAACTAGTTAATTTACATTTCTTTTTATAGATGTCTTGAAAAAGAATTAAATAAAATTCGAAAGCTTGACAGTAAGTCAAAGAGTTTCTTTGTCTTGTGGGCCAAATAAACGGACTGCATCCTCAAAAATCATAATTTATATTTAAATTAACAGTCAAGAATACCACCATCTTATATATATATATATATATATATATATATATATATATATATATATATATATATATATATATATATATATATATATAAGCCAACAAATACATCCCACAACCCATGGTTTTCCTAGATTATCACAAAATTTTGGATACTATTGAATTTTGCCATTATTCATACTTATTGTATCATATAGACGATGCCAAAATGACACCAGATATTCCACTCACATTTGTGACGTTTACAGAAATTATATTCTTCAGAAAATCAGAAAAGCAATGAGGACCTTAAAATAGATACAGTTTAAACAGAGAGAGCAGCTAGGTGATCTTATTCAACTGCAATGGAAAAATCAGAAAAAAGTTCAGTAATATAATGGAACAAATTGCTAGGCTAGGATATGAAAGTGGAAATGGGTCAGACATATAGCCAGGTAGAAAACCATGGTTATAAATAGTTTTCTGATAGCAGAAAAAATAGAAGACAAAAATTACAAAATAAACTATAAACATAATACAGCAAACAGAGCCGTAGCAGAGTGGAAAGAAATGAAAAGCAGAATTTACAAAACAGTCATCAGACCAATAATGACCTGACACAGACAGGACAAAAAGGATGTTAGAAACAATAGAGATGAAAACACTTTGAAAAATTGATAGTAAAATACTATGATATAGAGCTAAAAGTACAAATATACGACGTAAATGCAAGGTGGAGAACCTCAACGACTGAGTAAAAAATAGAAGAGGATAATGAAACGATCATATAAGTCAAATGGCAACAAAATAGAGTAGTAAAGACAGTAAGAGACTGTTTCCCAATAGGAAGACAATCAGTAGGAAGACCACGAAAACAATCGAAAACTTCCTGGAGGCACATTGAAAAATAGGCAGAAAAACGGAGTTATAGAGTTATAGACAGAGTTAATATTGCTAGTGAAGCAATGGGACTGAATAAATCTTCAAAAAACTAAAGTAATTGTGATAAAAATTGATGAGAATTGTCGCATTGACCTAAATAACACTCAGTTATAAGAAGTTACATCCGAATTGGAGCTTCGACATCCGAATTTGGTCAGTCCTTCTCTATGGAGTTGAAGCCTGGACATTAAAATTAAATATCATGAGACATTGCGGCGAAGGGTATGCGAATTTAAAGATTGATGGAAAAAGATAATCTTGAACTGGCCATCACCACAATAAAATCCATGGCCTGCCTACCTAAATTTCCAAGTAGCCCAAGTACAGTAGGTTAAAAAAAAGTCGAAAAATTTTTTGCGGATATCTGAAGCTTTTAAGATATAGGTGGAGATTACTAGATGACCAATAGATGAAAAAACTCGTATTTTTACCTTTTTTTAAACAATAATTTAAGGTCACAATTTGATTTTTTGTCTATAAGTTTGTTTTTTAAATTTTACATTAACAATATTTATATCATTTTGTTTTTATCAAAAATATCTTTATTTTCCGTTTTTTAAATTAAAATTGATAAATATTTTACGAAGATATATGCAAAAAGCAGTTTTTTGCACCAATTTATAAATTTTATTAATTTTTTATTAACAAAATAAAATGTTAATACATGTGAACCTCGAGCAATTACCGTCTTTTAAATTTGTGCGAAATTTTCCCCCTATCGGTCAAATAATTAAAAGTTATTTAGTATAGGCTAAATATTTACACTATTGAATTTGCTATATTAATCATGCTAGACACATTTAGCAAAATTCATAGGATTGTTTAAGACTTAAACCATCTCATAAGTTTTCCGAGATTTTCCGAGATTTCCGGGGGGAGGGTTGGGGGTGAAAATTATGTCATTATTATTAATACTGCGACAAATTATTTCAGTCAAATTTAAAAAAAAAAACGTAAGTTTTTACGGTGAATTTCAAATGAACTCAATTTTTCCGAGGTTTCCCATATTTCCCGGCCAACTATCTAGCTTACGAGCTACTCCAGATTAAAAAAAGGAGTCTTCCAGCTGCAATGAAAGCCGAGATAATGTAAATTTTTCCTACGTGTTTCAATTTGAGTTATCCCCTCCACTTTCCTATGTCGATCTTTCGAAAGTAGCTTCCTTTTGAAGGGTTGTAAGTTTCGAAAAATTGAATGAATTGGATGAATTTAATAAAAGATTGAATATAAAATTTAGATTTTCTTTAGTTTCTAGAAAATTTGTGCAAATTGTACTTCTTAATGTTTATAATATTTTGCTCCAAGAATATACAATCAATTGTTCATAAATTTTAAAAATATCAAAAATTTTTATTTGTATAAAAAATTAGTTAATGCTTGGGTAAAAGAAAAAAGGGAGTTGTGTAACAATTTAATAAATTTAAATTATACTAGATAAAAAAAAAACGAAACAAATTAGATTACATTAGAAACTGTAAAAATGAAATAATAATTTGTAAAAAAAACATTAAACCTGTTAATATTAGACAGCTTAAGTCAACAAGCATGTTAATGCTTTAAAGACTTTTTTTTACGTTTATGTTACTGTAAGGAAACTGAAATTGAAATTGTAAATTAATGTAATACTTATTGATTTGAATAAACGTATATTATTATTATAAACAATGGAGATATGATTTTTTAAAAATAGTCCCTAATTTCGTTCCTATTATTCATAGAATATTTTTTTTTCTTTTGAAATGTGAGTATTTTACCAGCTATCGAATGGTTGTACGTACAAGTCTGTAGCTTGAAAAATATAGAAGTTATTACAATTGTTTATAAGTAAAAAACATACCTCTTTTTGAAATGTTTATTTTGTAAATAATTTTGATGAAAACGCAATACGCATTTAACTTCTCAGATAGTTTAAGTCTTAAAGAATCCTATATGAAATTTGCTAAATGTGTCTAGCATCATTAATAGAGCAAGTTCAATAGTTTAAATAATTAGCCTCAGGGATAAATAAACTAAATAACTTTTAAACTGTTTGACCGATCGGGGGGAAATTTCGCACAAATTCAAAAGACAATAATTCCTCTATGTTCAAATGGTCAAAAAAATATCTTATTTTGTTAATAAAAAAAATTAATACAACATATAAATTAGTGTAAAAAACTGCTTTTTGCAAATATCTTCATAAAATATTTATCAATTTTAATTTAAAAAAACGAGAAAATAAAGATATTCTTGATATAAAAAAATGATATAAATATTGTTTATGTAAAATATAGGGGAAAAAACTTATAGACAAAAAATCAAATTGTGACAATAAATTAGTGTTTAAAAAAACGCAAGGTAAAAATAGACGCAATATAGATGGAGAAAGATTAAATCACCTAAGGTTTGCAGATGATGTTGTATTAATCGCAGATAACTTACATGATACAGTTTCTATGATGCATTCGCTTAAAAGTCTGTCTGAAAGAGCAGGATTAAAGATAAACTTTGAGAAAACTAAAATTATAACAAATCTCGTAATGAGTGGAAATATAACTATTGACAATAATACCATACAACAAACAGACACTTACAAATATCTGGGACACGAAATCAAAATAAGCAGAGACAATCAAACACATGAAATACAGAGGCGAATAGGTCTAACATGGGCAGCATTTGGCAAATTAAGCCATATTCTAAAAAGTTCAATTCCCATGTGTCTCAAGCGAAAGGTTTATAACCAATGTGTTTTACCTGTACAAACTTATGGAGCAGAGACTTTAACACTCACGCAAAAATCTGCGAATAAACTTAGAGTTACACAACGAGCCATGGAACGTGCAATGCTGAATGTGAGCCTTCGAGACCACATAACAAACCAACAAATCAGGCGAAGATCAGGAGTTCAAGACGTCATCGAAAGAACCACGACGCTTAAGTGGAACTGGGCAGGGCACTTAGCCAGAACACAAGATGGACGGTGGACAAGACGTATTATGGAATGGAGGCCCAGAAATTATAAAAGAAGTTGAGGACGACCACCGACTAGATGTACCGATGACATTAAACGTGTAGCGGGAAACTGGCTACAAGCGGCCCAGTGTAGAGAACACTGGAAAGAACTGAGGGAGGCCTATGTCCAGCAGTGGACGCGATTGGCTGATTGATGATGATGAAGGTAAAAATACAAGTACTTTTTCATCTCTTCGTCATTTAGTAAACCCCATCTATATGTTAAAAGCTTCAGATATCTGCGATGAATTTTTCGACCTTTTTTTTTAACCAGACTGGGGTATTTCAAGAAGCTCTATTGGAAGTTGTTGAAGGTAAGTACTGTGGTCAACGAAAATGAAAGTAACATCAATAACTTTAGATGTAACGTATTAAAATGGAAAATTGTATAAAAAGAAAACAATTAAAATAATTTCAGACCTGATCTCATTCTCCTTCAGCAAAATATATAAAAATGTAAAATAGTAAAGAAAGCTTGTAAAGCAAGGTTAGGGGATAAACGCAATAAAAAATATCTTGAAGAAACCCAAACGAATAAATTAAGGAAAATTACAAGCTAATACAGTTTAAAAATAAGAAAGGGGAAGTTGAAGATTGCAAATTAGCAAAAACTGAATTTGAAACGACATATAAAATATCTAAAAAGAATGAAAATGGATTAGTAAAACGAAATAAAAAAACATGGAAATGAAAACTATAAATTGAAAAAATTTGATTAAGACATTGTTATATTATGATAACTACACATTGGTAGAAAAAGATGCAGATATGAAAGGTGTAGGTATAAAAAAATATGTGAATTAAAAATAAAACTCATATTTTTAATAATCTCTAAAGGTATTTTGTAATTGCTCATGATGACCTTAAAATTCATCTTTATACTCAAATTTGGATTCAAGAAAATTAGGAAAAAAAACCTTGTTCAAATATTGACAAAAATTATACAAAAGTTAATATTTACCTTAATCATTTTTGCAAACAATTCACTGAACACTTCGAATACAAAAGTCTTAAGATATTTGATGTCCGTTCCCGGGCTGAGGTCTATTTTTATACTCTTCAGCGTACCGGTAGTCAATGTCCTTTGGTAAGGTTGTTCCCATACCGATGAGCTTAGCTTACGTTGATTCAGATACTCCGGTTTTTTACAGCATCGTCATTACTGTCAAAATGAAAACACAAATATTTACGTTACATCGTAAATCTCATCAAAATGATTCATTTTTCTTTTATTATAGTCGGAGATATGACGAAGATCATAGACACCATTAGACGAAAACGTTCAAATTCTATCATTGTCCAAGTTTTCTCAGAACATTTCAATAGTCAAGTATCTAATGAGTTTTCGAATAATATAAACATATAATAAGCAACCCTACAATTTCTCTGCAGAAATTTCTACGTGGTTTTTTAATTATTAACAATGTACATATTGCGAAAATTTTTTTTGAATTTATGCTTACCATATTTTATAGATTTATTCACCATTGATAGATGCCTCAAAAAATGTAACAAATACATGGAAAATTCAAAATGTGATATTTTACTGATTGCATATATAAATTACATAGAAATAATATAATTATAAATTTTGCTTAGATTTTGAATTTTTGACCTTTTGTTTAAATTATTATCACTTTTGCTAATACAAACCATTTCCAAAAAAGTTCTTTTAAATTTATTACTTTCACTACATAAAATTTTAATATTATCACAATCCATAATATGGTCTTTGTCTATTACATGCTCTGCCAAAGCACAAGATGGTTTCTTAATTCTGCAATCACTTTTGTGAGAAATAATACGATTTGAGAGATTTCTTCCAGTCTCACCAACATACTCAGCTTCACACTGAGTACAACCAATGCTGTATACTACATTTGTTTGATCTAATTTGTCTATAGGATATTTAGTTTTGGAATGTAAAGATGAAATGGTTTTGATGTTCTTTGTTGCTATTTTTATATTGTCAATAACCTTTAGTGTTTGTATTAATTTATGAGTTAATGATGGTATAAAAGGTAGTGAATGATATATGTTCTGATTGTTGGATACAGTGTTTTGAGATTTAGCAAGAAATGGTGTTAAGTTATTTATATTTAATAAATTAGAAAAAAGCATCCTATGTAGCATATCTGGAGGATAAGAGTTTTCAATTAAAATATTTTTTTACAAATGAAGATCTTCTTGTAGATAGTCTTAATGAGAAAGTTTTAAAACACGTTCCTTTAATCCTGTTATAAGGTTCATTTTCATCTTATTTGGATGATGAGAGTAATAGCTTATAAATCTATTACTACATATGGGTTTTCTGAACCATCTGGTTTTCAACATATTGTCTGTATTTCTTACAATTCTCATGTCAAGACCAACCCATCCAAAACAGTTTTATAATTTTTTCCAAACGAGTCACAAGTACTTCTTTTTTCGTATATATATATATATATATATATATATATATATATATATATATATATATATATATATATATATATATGTATATATATATATATATATATATATATATATATGTATACTTATATATATATAAATATATATATATATATATATATATATATAACACTGTTTTTTGATGGGTTGGAGTCAATAAAAGGGGCTATTTGTTGACTATTTTTTACTCGAGCTTTCAATTGTGATTACAATTTTTATCAAGAGCTTCTAAAAAATACAAAATGTCTTACAAAGTTGAACTAGAAATAAAAAATTTTTTGTTAACTCACCAAATAAAATTAGTTTTTTATATAAAACTACTGCTTACATAATAAATACAAAAAATATTAATAAAAAAATGTCCTATTCTAACAAATGTTTCTCTGAAAAATTTAGATGAAGTTCCTTAAGAAAAAAAATTGAAATTATAAACAAATATAGAATAGCTACAACCAGCCTAAAACGTCATAAATACTAACTTAAAAATTCTTATTTTTGACATATTGTCAAAAATAAAATTTTGTTTAAAAAATTCTTCTTTGTTTAGTAACAAAAAAGAAGAAGATTTATTCACCATTGATAGATGCCCGGAAAAATGTAACAAATAAATGGAAAATTCAAAATGTGATATTTTACTGACTGCATAAATTAAATAGAAATTATATAATTATAAATTTTGCTTAAATTTTGAATTTCTGACCTTTTGTTTAAATTATTATCACTTTTGCTAATACAAACCATTTCCAAAAAAGTTCTTTTAAATTTATTACTTTCATTACATAAAATTTTAATATTATCAAAATCCATAATATGGTCTTTGTCTATTACATGCTCTGCCAAAGCACAAGATGGTTTCTTAATTCTACAATCACTCTTGTGAGAAATAATGCGATTAGAGAGATTTCTTCCAGTCTCACCAATATAATTAATATAATCTAATATATATACAATATAATCTAATCGCATTATTTCTCACAAGAGTGATTGTAGAATTAAGAAACCATCTTGTGCTTTGGCAGAGCATGTAATAGACAAAGACCATATTATGGATTTTGATAATATTAAAATTTTATGTAATGAAAGTAATAAATTTAAAAGAACTTTTTTGGAAATGGTTTGTATTAGCAAAAGTGATAATAATTTAAACAAAAGGTCAGAAATTCAAAATTTAAGCAAAATTTATAATTATATAATTTCTATTTAATTTATGCAGTCAGTAAAATATCACATTTTGAATTTTCCATTTATTTGTTACATTTTTCCGGGCATCTATCAATGGTGAATAAATCTTCTTCTTTTTTGTTACTAAACAAAGAAGAATTTTTTAAACAAAATTTTATTTTTGACAATATGTCAAAAATAAGAATTTTTAAGTTAGTATTTATGACGTTTTAGGCTGGTTGTAGCTATTCTATATTTGTTTATAATTTCAATTTTTTTTCTTAAGGAACTTCATCTAAATTTTTCAGAGAAACATTTGTTAGAATAGGACATTTTTTTATTAATATTTTTTGTATTTATTATGTAAGCAGTAGTTTTATATAAAAAACTAATTTTATTTGGTGAGTTAACAAAAAATTTTTTATTTCTAGTTCAACTTTGTAAGACATTTTGTATTTTTTAGAAGCTCTTGATAAAAATTGTAATCACAATTGAAAGCTCGAGTAAAAAATAGTCAACAAATAGCCCCTTTTATTGACTCCAACCCATCAAAAAACAGTGTTATATTTTTTCCAAACGAGTCACAAGTACTTCTTTTTTTTTTTTTATATATATATATATATATATATATATATATATATATATATATTCTTAGAAAGGGCTTTAGTGACTATGTGAGTAATATATACGAATATATTGGGTTTAGTAGTCAATATATTGGCCTTTAAGTAAAACTCTTTTAGGTTTGCTAAGCTTTCGAGTTTATTTTACTCTTTTTCAAAACATACTAGAAATTAACATAAAAAATTTACATTAGAAAAATGAAGTTCTTATGTCTTAAATAGGCTTACCCTTGTGAGAATTGTCTTTTAAAATTAGCAAAATTTTACATTTTGTCATTATGTCATTAACATAATGACATTAAATTTGATTTACTTTTTATTTCTGTCAAAACTTATTACTAAGGTTTCCATATCTCTTCTATTTTTTATATTTATTTTAGGTGAGTTTGACAGAAGAAGTGTCTATATTTATGCAAACCTTCATTGCAAATTTTGATATAATATTAGTTATTAAACAAGCAACAGAGTTTATGTTACTAAGTATTTAAGAAAGAAAAAATACAAATAAAAATAAATTTTATCTCATTTGAACTTGGAATAATCCCTTTCATATGCGTAACTTTTAAGAACTTTTATATTGTTATTCTTTTATTTAAAAGAAGATTACCGTATATAGCACTAAGATTTTCAATGTCTTCTCTTTTGTTTAAGGTGTTTTGTGTAGTTTTAATTAAACACATTTCTAGAAACAGTCTTTTGTTGTAATTTCTTTCCCTTCTCAATATTTCTGTTTGATCATAGTTAGGCGTATGGCCCATTGTAATACAATGTTCACTTAATGCACAGGCTTGTACTTTATTCAGATTAATATCACTCTTGTGAGATGTTAATCTTCCGGACAAATTTCTGGACGTTTCTCCAATATATATTCTATTACAATGATTACAGGGTAGAGAGTATACTACATTGGAGCTTTCTCTATTATTTAAGGGTGTTTTAAGTTTAGTATATAATTTCCATATTGTTTTTATATTTCTAAATATAAAATTCTATATTTATGTATTTATGTACATAAAATGATGAGAACCTTTCCGAAGATTTGGTTGTATTCCAACATGATGGGCTCCTTCACCATATTGAAAATATTAATGTCTTCATTGGCCGATCACATTTTTTTTTAAATTATTTTTCAAACCATAAATTAACACTCTAAAATGTGAAATTCCATTTTTTCAAATGTGTAACAAAATAATACTAGATATTTTTTCCTAAATTAGAGACTTTTTTAGAACAACTTACCAAACGTGTACCATTTAACGTGAGCTATTGATTATATACTTTGGAATGGAACTACAAGGCTTAAGTGATTTTATTGTTTCGTATGGTCAATGCACCCCCAAATATGGAAAAATTTTGGAGTGCCAAATACCATTTAAAGGAGTGCGTTTTCAAGAAAGAGGTGAATTAGTCTCTATACACTAAGGTGCATTTAGGTGAATTCTGTCAGTTTTCGTACATATACTTGTACAGAAAGGTTGTTCAAAATTTAATTTCCCATCGAAATGTCACCTTTTATAGTGAAAAATAATTTACTCCAAGAAACTTCAATTTTATTATTTAATGGATTCCATAAACGGTATCCATTATTACTGTATTCTACCAAATATTTTTCTTGACTTCTTTCATCGAGCTTTCCTCTTACTTCTTGAGGAACATGAGCCCAAGCCTTCGATCCAAATATTCGTATCTTTTCTAGATATAATTTTTTATTAAACCAAATTTCTGGCGGAAGTTT